GTCCAGGCAACAGGACCCAGCTGAGCTAGGGAAGGGCCACTCGGGCCTTCCTCCGAGCACACCACGTGAAGGACCCCGAGTTCACAGCCTTGCCTGCCTCTTCCGTCCAGACTAAACTGCCTTCTGGGTGCTGGAGAAGGCCACATGCTCAGCAGGGTCCCTGTGCCAGCAAAGCGAGGGCCGAAGGGCGGGCAGGCAGATGGTGGGACCCCGGGATGAGAGGGCTGCCGAGGAGTGCGGGCAAGGCCCAGCCCCACCCCACCCCTGGAAGCAGCCGCCTGTCAGAGAGGCAGGGCGGCGGCCATCCCTTCTCAGCCAGGGGCGTCTGGGGGGCAGCAAAGAACCTCTGACAGAGTCCTCAGTCCCTGGTGCTGCGCCTGGACCTGCCACTATCCCAGCCTGTCACTGTAAAGGCTCATCATCTCAGTGGTACTTGGGCGCAGGCTGGCTCACCCCACTTCACTATAATGTGCAAATGCAGCCCGGCATGGCACTGCCCTCTCACACGAACGCTCCGGGAAGACTCCCAGTCCCCCCGGAGGGCTTGCCACAGTATCTCACTCGGCCTGTCTTGCTACAGCACTTCCCTGCCTCAGCGCCAGACAGAAAATGGCTGCTTGGTGCCCGAGAGTTCCATCAACGGATTTAAGAGCGGTTCCCCTATTCTGGGCACCTGTTCTAGCTTAGGAACCAAGAGCTTTGCCAGGCAAAGGCTGGACGAGGAGGGCCCACCTGCTCTCTCATGAGGGGCTCCTGGAAGCTGGGCCTGGAAGAAGCTGGGCCTGGGAGGCGCTGGGTCTGGGGCCGAGGCTCCTGAACCACCCAATGGCCCGACCCCTCTGGCTGGGCGGAGCAGCCCGGTTCACCTGCAAGTGACAGTTTAGACCCAGAGATGAGACAGATGTCGGAAGGCACAGGCCAGGGACCCCAGGGACCCAAGTGACTCTCTGAGTTTGGGGAAAACAAGGAAAGCAGAAAAAACCAGAAGTGGAAACAAGAGCCAAAGGAGCGAGGGATGCAGAAGGTGCCGTCTTAGCTGAGACACAGGGTGCAGGGCTGGGCTCTGTCAGTTGTGCACAGGACAGGCTGTCGAGACAGAAGACAGGGACGAGAAGGAGGGTGAACTCTGGAAGTCAGTCTCTGCAGCCATTATTTATGGATGCCTCCCTTGATGTGAGTCTCCAAACCTGGGCTGGCATAGCGACTGAATGTCCCTCACAGCTGCTCCTTCCTGCAATAACAAGACTGACATCACTGTTGTCAGGGAAATGGTGTTTTGATTAAAATCATGTGACAGCTACTTCATGATTCAATAAACAAACCCCCTGTTAACCCTCGCCTGACAGAGGCCTGGCAGCCGCTCTGTCAAAGCACAACCTGAGGCCTGCCCAGGAGCGGCTCAGCTGACCCAGGGTGGCAGGGTGTGGGAGGTGGCCCATGCTGGTCCCTGGCAGGTCCTGCATGGGAAGGTACTTGTGACACCCAACACAGAGAAGCCTCTGCAGACTTCAAAGGTGCCAAGGAGGCACCCTTCACCATGGGGAACTGGCTGGCACCCCAGGGCACTTTCCCTTGGACGAAGTGGCAGGCCTGGCCCTGGGACATCTTATGGCTCCCTGGGGGCCCTGAGGCTGGTTGAGAACTGAGTTCCCAGGGCCCTCACCGGCCAGGCACTCACTCCCAACCCAATGAACAGATGGCGGGCGAGCCTGCTCTGCATGTAGGCAGTGAGGGGTTAAGAGCAATTCTGATTTGCAACTGGACGACTTCCTGGATCGCTCACTTGGCTGCTGGCCCCTGACACAGGGCTCTGCCTGGCAACTGCAGTCCACATTCCCTCTCACCCTCGGGTCATTTTCCTTAACTTAAACACATGCAGGGAAGGCTCCCTGAGTCACAGGGCAGGGGACTTTCCTGGGTTAAATGAACTGCAGCCTCAAAGGCCTAGCACCACTGGGCCCCACTCCTGGCAAACAGACTTCCAAGGAGATGGAACTCACAACTGACTGAAACACAGACAACGGCACCTGCCAGCCGGGGTTGTCGTGAGGATCCGTCAGGCACGGGCAAGGTGCCACAGTGACCGAGACTTGGAAACGGCAGCCCGCGCTGCTGCTTCGGCTGTGGACAGCCCAACCTGGGGCCTTCTTCTGAGCTGAGCAAGTTGGCCTTGAAGGGGCCGCCTCGACGACCCCCACTCAGATCAGGCACATCCCGTGCATGGAATGGCATGGGCAGCTGGCCTGAATTTGTAGGAAAGCCTAACGCCTTTCTTCCCAAAGAAGCCCGAGACGTGGGCCTAAAAAAAACGACTGTTGTTCCTGCCCCTTCAGCCAAGTTCTCTTCCCTAGGACCTGTTCTATGAACTGGACATAAGGCCACCAAGGACTGGTCACCTCAGGCACGTCAGGGTCCAGGGGCTGCCGAAGCCACAAGCAGCATCACCTAGCACTTCCACCCCCCATGCAGCTGCAGGAACAGCCGGAACTGCCTGGGGACGGGTGTGCAACCCCGCAGGAAGGCAAGAACATTCTAAGATGCGTGACAGCAGTTCAGGGCCCGGACAGCAGGAAAACCCATTTCCATGGCCTCAGTGCACATAAAATAAGAATCCCTGAGATTTGGAAGGCAGCTCCGCTAAGAATTCCCCAAGCGGTCCCGCTGGAGCATGAGAACGCCAGATTCTTGCCCATGAACAAAATGCTGCCTGCCATCAGCACGTGACGGCCCAGCCCCTGTGCTGCTTGTCTGAATGTGTCCGTAAGTCATAAATCGCCCGCCTAATGAATGGTCCTGGGGCAGTGGCTGGCACCGACCTTTGATTGCTGGACCTCAACTTTTGCAAACCCTCTCCATGCAGAGTGGCACTTAATGGAGCTTGTAAAACATCTGAACTCTTCCACAGAAAAACATGGCAGAAACTATTTTTATCTCGAATGGAAATAATTATCTGAGAGGAACTGTGGCACATCGCTTTCTGTATTCTGTGAGGAAAACGGGAACAGCCCCTTTCCACAAGCAATTCACCAAACCACCCCTGTCCTCTGCAAGGGCTTCACTGTCTGTAATTGATGGGAGACGCACCAGATACCAAACCATGGGAGTGACAGAGGTCTGGACAGAGCCTACCTCTCCCAGAGCATTCCCAGAACAAAGGAAGTAAAAAGCAACAGGCTTTAAAAACCTACCCTCCTGGTCCTTAAAACTGGACCGTGTCCTCAGGGAGAGTCAGAGGTACTCTGTGTCTCTCACAGTATCTCACTCTGCACAGGACCAAGAGGGCTGTCTTCAGCCCTGAGAGGGCACTTACCTTCCTGGTGTTGTCTCCAGGCACGGTGGGGCTCAGGAAGTGGTTCTTGTCAGCCCTAGGGGCGCTGAGCTCTTCACTGTCCTTCACAGGAAGATCTAGCTTCCTCAGCCTTTGTGCCATCACTAAAGATAGACGGTGGCGCTGTAACTGTCCCTGACCAGGGCACGTCCCTCCCAAGCCCACCTGCGCTTCCTAGCCAGGATGCCTTTAGTTGTTCCAGCAACATGACGGGAAGCCCAGAAACCTATGGGGATAGGGGACCCTGGGCAGAGAAAGCTGGTTCAGCCCAGGACTTTACTGAAGGTGCCTTTCCCTCGGGAGACCTGGAAAGCATGGCCCCATCGGGCCCTGTGATGCCCAGCTAGGTGCTTCCAGTCATCTTGGCCATGGACAACCTACAGAGCCCCAACCCGAAAGAAAAGTCCTGGTTCCTTTCAGACCTAGAAATATCAGTTTAAGAGAATAACTTTGGAGAAAGAAATGACTTGGCTTTTCTATGTAATGAGTAATTAAACTCTCTTCACCCTCCAGAAGATTTCCACCTCAACCGAACGTTATGTAATTTCCTGGAAACAGCAGGCTCGTGGAGGCAAACGGGGGATACGGAGACTATTCTAGGTACAGAAAAGGACAGGAGAGGAACATGTGAGGAACAGGAAAGAGAGGAGCAAGGAACTGGACGGAAACAGGAACACTGAAAAATCAAGGGGGAACGGTTACATAACAGCAGATGGCTGTCACCTCATCTGCTACACCAGGGAGGACATGAGGTGACAAGGCCTTCTCTACAGTTCACACCCAAGCAGTAGAGAAACAGGAGGCTGTAAGAGCGTCACCATAAAGTCAGAGGAATTTAAGTAAAAGGCACAAGGATAGAACAAGCACCCAACTGGTTTGGCCACCCTGCCCTGCCACCCTGGCGGGGATGGAACCAGTGTGGTATCTACGGGAAAGCACCAGACTTTCAGCTTGGCGACAACACAGCAGTTATTTTAATAAGGGGAAAAGATTGCAACAAGAAAGTGGTGATGCAATTTAACCCCAGGGTCAGGAATGACAAGTTTGTTTCCCCTGGAGGTCTATGCAGGCAACTCAGATGCTCGGACAAGACAGCTCAGAAGTCAGGCTGCTGTCTCCATGGAGTCAGGACAAGATGTCCAGCAAAGACCCCTAGGGCCCTGCATCAGTGGCCAAGCTATGGTATTTCTCGAGCTGAGGGCGGCCAGCTATTTCCACAAGGCCTCGTTAGAAACCACACATTCACCTGGTGTTGCTTACTAAACAAAACACATCTTCAGGTTCACATGTTGGCAGCACAGATAGAGAAGCAAGATCTGATCTTGGAAACCTGCGGGTAAACCCCACACAAACTGCAGAAACACTAAGGTGAATTCCATTGTTGCTGAGACATTTTTATTAGGATAGCACGTATATGTACGTGTCACTGCTTCACTTTCCTAATCAACCAAACAACTGATGATGTAAAATGCCGAGGAGGAAAATCAACAGCAGTGGACGTTCAAGGCATTCAGACAAATCCACCTGAACTGTTGCCTACACCAGGGAGCTGGATAAGAGACACATAAAGCTTGTTTCCTAAGAGCAGAAAACCCTTTAATGTGTCAATGGGAGCATAAGGCAGTCTAGTACTTTTAATGATTTGTTCTACACACACAACACATCAGAGGACAGATTTTAGAAATTTATTCATTGAATGTTTTTATTGAGCACCTGCTATGTAAACCAGACACTGGTTCAGGCACTGGTGGTAACGCACAAGACAAAACAGATACAAATCTCTGTCCCTACAGAGCTCCTAGAGCTTATATTTTAGTGAAATCAAGATGGGAGAACTTTTAGTCCTTGATCTGGGAATGTTAAAAAAAGATTTTTTTTTTAAGATAAGAGAACCAATCCATGGAAAAAATAATCAGGTTATGGACCAAAGCAATTCTGCTAAAGACTAGTAAGAGAGATTCCCTATTGAGAAACAATGAAGTCCCTGAGGGATCACCCCAAATAAGAGGGATCCTGCTGAGCTCCAAGAGCCATGCCTGAAAAAGCAAGAGCTCACCACCCCTCCCTCAAACAGAATTAGGGTAGAGAGGGCACTGCATGGGGCTCCCCGGGGGAGGGGGAGACAAAAGGGCATTTTAAAAGTCTATCCCCAAATTAATGGCATTTGCAATGGTCTCAATACAAATCTGTTTCAAGAATTAAGACAAAAGTCTTTCAAATGTGGAACTCAATGAAAAGAAACATAACTTGCAGGTAATAGCAAGTAAAGAACCACTAAACTAAAATTAAAATGTTTACAACATATCGGCTTAGGATATTAAAGCAAAAATGTAGAAAAAGATTTTTGCTTAGGAAAATATTTACTCCTTGGTCCAAAGTCATAAAATGGAAACTACTATAAAGTAATTTGGCAGTTTAAAATGCAGGCAGGTAACTTATGATTTAAAATGTCTGTTCTGTTTTCTAATGTAAGACAAACATGAAAGTAGGTAGTAAAACTTGGTTTTCTATAAACTCGGCTTAATTTACAAAGTTTCACAGGAGTCGTTTTGGGTCTTCGCAAAACAGAAAAAGGCTCATTAGATTTAAAAGAGGTTGTGAATAAAATCAACTGTTCAAAAACCAAAACAGAAGGAAGCAAACTCCATAGCAAGAGGCACTGAGAGAAAAATAAGTTACAGTAAAATCTCATTAATAAAATTCATTAGAGTCAAGGGAGCTTGATAAGGTGAAAAATGTCAATAATTTTAAAAGAAAAAATACTTACATTCTCTGTGAAATACATCAAGGATAAAGAGTAAATTGCATGCATCTAAACAAATGTGAGAGCCTCATGGAAGGTCTTGTAGTATGACTGAAAAGACTGGTACTTGGCATATCAAATGATAAATGGGTGCTTTTCGAAGACGGCTTTAACACTATTTAAGTAGTTCCAGTAGATTTCCTTACAACATATTAATTTGCTTCCATAAACTCTTCAACTTAGCTCATTATCTTAAATTGGAGAATCAATGAGGTTTTACTGTAAAAGTAGAAAAACACTTCAAATGATAAGATTCCAGCATCACCCATACTAAAAAATTAGCAATGAAACTTCAGTCTGGAAAGCTATAATATAGCAAAGACCAGATGTTACTGAACCAGGTGAAGAGTAGGAAATCTAGTCTTACACCCATGGCTCCTACACTCATTCAAAATACAAAACTGCAGTCTTACAAAGAAACAGTAGAACAACTGCTTATTAGAAGGCTCTAAAGCTAAAGTTTCTCACAAGGAAAAGGAGTGAAGAAGTATTTTTTAATGCAGTCACAGTGGTGAGTTGTTGAAATTAGGTGTCAACATCACACATTAGCAGCAAGACACATCCACATTTCAGGTTTCTAAATGGCATGATTAGTCAAGAACGAGCAAATAAAAACAAAAAGCAACCAATAACTGACCCTGAGCGTCCACATCCCCCTCTCATGTGAGACCCTGATGCAGATCACCATAATCCAGGACAATGCGGCTCTCACTACAGTCAAATCTTGACATGTCTCCCAAACAGACAGGGTATAAAATAAGTAATGCTAAACATGTGCATTTAACTTTGGAACGATGGAAAGACACACGGATGCACACAAACATCAAGAGAATCCCTCAACTCACGAGTGGGTCCCATTCCATCTGGGCTTTGTCCAGAATATTCCGTAGTCAGAGTCTGATGAACCAGTGAGGATTCAGGAGCCCAGATGGCGCCAGATGAAGCATTAGGAGACAATTAAGAGCTGACTGTACCACGTGTCAGGAACCAGTCAATAAGATGGGCTTAAATAATCATCCCAACAGGGAAGATGAGTAAAGAACAATCCCGTTTCATCTTTTGAAAGAACCAAGTCACTGAAATTTGATTTCTTCTAAGTTGTTGCCATTTGTTTGGATGATATCTTGAAGGTTTTCCATTTTCTCTCCACCTACTTTAAGGACACATTGACTAGAAATCTGTGCTAGGAATTTAGTAAAGGTTTTTCCCTCCTGTTCCTCATTATGCCAACGCAAGAACTGAAAAATTCCAAACAAAATCAGGTTAGTGGTACAGAAAGTTCATGATAATGTGAATATTAAAAACAATAAAATAACCCAAAAGCACTTTTTTGAATGCAGTCACAGTGCACTAAACTTCTCATTGTGGTCAGTTTCTTTACTCTGACAGGCTAATCAGAAGTAAACTTTAGAAAGTGATTAAAATCCAAACTAAAAACTATTCCTACCAGCAGTAAGAATCGTATTCCTACGCAGTTCTAGACATGGACTGAGGATACAGCCTGCTCACTGACGAGGAAATGGAAGGCCAAGAAGATTCTAATCAAAGAAGGACGCCAGCATTCCAGGAACTCACAACCCTCCCTCTTTCCCATAATATTCATCGCCCTGCCACTGAACACCTCTCACATAAGAGATAAATCCCAGTAAACCACAGTATAAGCTGCAAGGCAGAAAAAGGAAACACATACCACTGATAGCTTCTTGTGCAAAGTATTTGACATCCATGTCTTCATCTTGACCTAACTTCTGTAGTACTGGCCTAACTTCCCCCTGCAAAGCACTGAAATTCAAAAGTATTATCTGTAAAAGACAGGATAATGGACCAGAGAAATCCTTCCAGGTGTATATGCTCTATGGTCACTGTTAAAGTTTAACATTTTGAAAATATTTTAAAACACTTATAAACTTGACAAATACACAAAATAATTTCTAAAGACATACTCAGCAAAATTAGCTTCAAGCTGGGTTCGGTGGCTCAGCCTGTAATCCCGCGCTTTGGGAGTGGATTGCCTGAGCCCATGGGTTCGACACCCGCCTGAGCAACTTGATGAGACCTCTTCTCTACAATAAATCAAAAATAGCTGGGCATGGTACCATGCGCCTGTAGTTCCAGCTACTTGGAAGGCTAAAGCAGAAGGATTGCTGGAACCCAGCAGGTCGAGGCTGCGATGGCCAGGAGCGTGCCACTGCACTCCGGTCTAGGCGAGAGTGAGACTCCAACTCAAAAAAAAAAAAATTAGCTTCAAATCTACATCTACACATATACAGAGCTTAATTATAAAAAGTGGACATCCTCAAAAATGGTTGCTAAATTACTTTATTATTTTCTTTAAACAAACCCAAATCTTAGGAAAAGTGAAAATCACTGACTGAATTTTAGCTATCCCTCCCAATACACTGTAAAAGTTAAAATATACTTTTTTTTTTTTGAGTCAGAGTCTCACTCTGTTGCCCAGGCTGGAGTACAGCGGCATGCTCACGGCCACTGCAACCTCGACCCGCTGGGCTCAGGCAATCCTTCTGCCTCAGTCTTCCAAGTAGTCAGAACCACAGGCACATGCCACCACGCCCGGCTAATTTTTTGATTTATTGTAGAGACTAGGTCTCGCCAAGTGGCTCATACCTATAATCCCAGCACTTTAGGAGGACAAGGTAAAATATACTTTTAAAACAGTAAGAACACTAAAATCTTACTTGGTATCTAAAATTGGTCCAATTTTTTGTAGAGATTTGGCCACATTGAAACGAACATTTGCTACTTGGTCTCCTGCCATCTTTAATACGATGGGCAGCATTTGCTTAGTGGTTATTTCCTGACCACAGGCTTCAGACAGTGCCTAGAAAAACAAGTAAAATGGCACATTTAAAATACTTTTTAAAAAATCCCCAAATCTAATAAGACAAATTAATATTTAATAAGAATTGACCAACAGGAAAATATTTCTAGTTTGAACATCAGAATGAGGGAAGATAACATTAAAAAAATTAGAGAATTAGACCAGAATTCACAACTAAACTGCAATTTAAAAATACTACCAATTTTAACACGAATTTTCAAAAGCAGTTTTCTCTCATCTACCTATCCAAATTAATCAGTATAAGAAATTATATTCCAAATGGAAGACAACAAAACCAGAATTCAGAAATAGTTGTGAATAATTGCTTTAATGCCTAAGCTTAGCAATATCAGCTATGTTATACTTACATTAATGCAGAATAAAGTGGTCATCCTATGTAAGTAATTAGGATCATCTGCCATTACCAACACTTTGGGAACGATGGTATTTTGGGCCCACTCTGTACCAAACTTCTGAACTAGTTTCATGAGGTTGTTGGTAGCAGCTTCTCGGATGGCATATACTGCAGAAGAGGTCAAAACACGTTCTCATACTGCTCACTGCTTTGCAAGCATCACCTCATTTATTTACATCAACATCAAAAATGTGGACCAAAACCAAAACTTCTCTGTGAGCAGACTCCACGTAATCATACTGCAATGCCAAACATGCTCAACCCGACTCATAATACACTGACTTGTTGCTATTTTAGTTTCAAATTGTATATGTCCAAGGAAAAAGGATGCCAGGATCTCATTATATGCATCATCAATTAACAAATATGAGTGCCATGTGCTACAAAAGACTACAGAAGATACTTTTTCTCAAAGGACATATATGCTCATCTGAGAAATTAAAGCTAGCACACTCCAAGAAGTCACATCATATAAGTTCAATTATAATGAAGGATGGCATTGTTTAGCGAAGACCGCAAGGACTATCGGAGTACAGAGAAGGGTGAACAGGGAGGTCTGGGAAAGTTTTGGGAAAGAAAATGGCCTTGCTCTAGGCAGTGAAGATTAGGAAGGACCTGTGTAAGTAGAGAGGAGAGAGCAGGAATTCCTAGAGAGGGCAAAAACATGTACTCAGGACACAAAGGATAAAACTGAAGTCTGTGAGACTTCGAAGTGAGACAGTAAGGGTAAACCCAAACCACTAAGCATGCTGAAAGTTAAACTGAGACTTGATTAGAAAAACAACGAGTTTTTAAAGCAAACTTGTGACCTGATGACTAATGTGGTATTTTAGCAAGACTACTGCAGCAGCGTCACATAGAACCTGGAGAGGAGAAAGACATCAAGGAGATCATGCAGAGGCCACTGCGGTCATCTCCACTACAGCAAATAAAAACTATAGACGGATTTACTTCTTTTCCATTAAAATGTTTAGGTTGAGACAAGATGTCAAATGTCTTCTGAATAAAAGTGCCTGCTTTGACATCTAACAATTCCCTACAAGGTCATTTATCAAAGACATCATGAATCTGGACCATAAAGGGCTGAGCTACTACCATCTCACAACTAGTTGCTACATACAACACTGAACAAGGACAAGCCTGGTGTCACTTCACAGATCCACTAAAGCTCAAAATGTGGGCTTACACAGCCAGTCAAGGGTGGTAGGTACTGACTCCTTATTCTCCTCTTCCCATGTGTGCCCAATGCTCCTGGATAACAGGAAGGGCAAGAATAGCTATCGAAGCCACAGCCCTGATCCTAGGCAATTTATACAAGCCTCTGAACAAAAAATGCCGAACTTTTCCTAGTCTGAAGATCTTTCCAGGTAATGACATTGAGAACGGACAAGACAGCACAGATAGTAACTATACAACTTATTATCAGTATTTAAACTGACCAGACTATGGAAGAAGCAACCTGTCAATAATACCCAGCAGCATTCTCTAAGGAGCAGCTCAAGTCAACTGTTTTAATGGTCATACAATTTTTTCCCTTCATATTCAGTCTTTGTCTTTGGCCCACGTCCCTCCCTCCTTCCCCCTAAAGTGGAGTTAGCTAGAACATTTGTCTTCTCTGCTAATTAATTGCTATTTTTTAATGTGCTTTAATTATCCTCACTACAATGTCATTACCACAGGAAGGGATCCCACTGCCAGAATAACCGGAGACCAGGCACACACATGCACAGCCTTGACCAAGACCTTTACTGCAATGAACTCTACTTGGCTAGGTGCCTACTATGCCTTGGCTCCTCTCAATTATGCTGTCAGAAGAATGCAAACCATTCCACAGTTCTGCCTGTTTTTTCTCCTTGTTTTGGCTTTCTCTTTCTCTCTTTCTCTTTCCCCCTCTCCACTCAAGATTTGGCTGACCAGCAAGGTTTCTTGGAATATCTAACTAACTCTGTAGCCATGCTCACTAATGTTGAGCCATTCTCCTTTCTCCTATAAAAAAATACATTTCCCTTCTAAATTCCTCCCCTCTGATCACAACTGTCCACTCAACCATAGGAATACAGATAAGTGATACTTTCTTCCTTATACTTCTCTGGATTTTTCACAATATTCTTTTAGTAGTTTAATACCCAGGAAAGAGGTTTCAAAAAAATCTAACTGATCAGTGGTCACTATATAACACTTATCTAAGATGCAAAAGCAAAATAACAAAAAAAGTCCTTGTGATTAAGCACAGAATAACTTCAGAGTTACCATTTATTGGTTCAAAGAAATCCCAGTTGGGCTCAGTGGTTCAGCCTATAATCCCAGCACTTTGGGATGCCGAGGCAAGTGGATTGCCTGAGCCCATGGGTTTGAGACCAACCCAGGCAACTTGGTGAGACTGTCTCTACAATAAATAAAAAATTAGCCGGGTGTGGTAGCACACGCCTGTAGTTCCAGCTACTTGAAAGGCTGAAGTGCAAGGATCGCCGGAGTCCAGCAGGTTGATGCTGGGGTGGCCATGAGTGTGCCACTGCACTCCACCCTGGGCAAGAAAGCAAGACTCTGACTCAAAAAAGAAAAGAAGAAGATGTTATCTATGTATTACTTTTCAAAGTTGAATTGAATTACAATAGCACTGTGTAGTATGACACTCACTCAGAAGATGGTGTTAATCAAATGTTCATGACTGGCCCGAGCAACTTGGTGAGATCTCGTCTCTACAATAAATCAAAAAATTAGCTGGGCATGGTAGCGTGGCTATAGTTCCGGCTACCTGGAAGGCTGAGGCAGAAGGATTGCTAGAGCCCAGCAGGTTGACACTGGGGTAGCCTTGAGTGTGCCATTGCACTCCAGCCTGGGCAGCAGAGTGAGGCTCCAACTCAAAATAAAAAAAAAAGAAAGAAAAGAAAAGAAATCACCACTTCAGGATGCTGCTGCAGGGAAATAAACAAGGGTCTCTCCCGCTCCCTAACTGGAAGAGAAGATCAGAAAAGAGAGAGTAATCAAGTTGCAGAGAGAGAACAATCCTACAGAGAAAGGTTATAAGAAATTTAATTATTTGTGAAATACTAGAAATTTTAAAATTCCTAGTAGAACACTTTTTAAACTTACAATGTCAGCTTTCAAAGAAAGCAGAGAAAGCCGGGCTCAGTGGCTCAACCTGTAATCCCACGCCTTTGGGAGGCTGAGGTGAGTGGATTGCCTGAGCCCGCGGATTCGAGACCCACCTGGGCAGCGAGACCTCATCTCTACAATAAATCAAAAAATCATCCGGGCGTGGTAGCGCATGCCTGTAATTCCGGCTACTTGGAAGGCTGAGGCGGAAGGATCGCCGGAGCCCAGCAGGTCAAGGCTGCGGTGACCGGGAGCGGCCACTGCACTCCAGTCTGGGCGACAGAGTGAGACTCCAACTCAAAAAAAAAAAAAAAAAGAAAGCAGAGAATGATGTGCCAGGATGTGCAATTTCCACTAACATTAAATATTTATCAGAAATAATCTAAACACTTAAAAAAAAAGAGGTATTTCTTTCCTACGGTTTTCCAAACAAATTTTATTTAAAAAGAAAAAAATAGACCATAAAAAAGTAACTTTAGAGAAGAAAAAGAGAAAGAAGTCTTCAAAAGCTAATTTGAAAACAATGGAAGTGCCCACATATATAAGCCCTTATAGATTTTCACAGATTTTTTTTCACATCCTTCCTCTTCACACTCTTAGCCACATGATGTCCCATATGATGCAAACATGGCTTTAACAAAACCACCTACATGTATAAGCAGACACAAGTATCCTCATCTCTCCCAAATACCCAGCATAAGTACCCACAGACGAACAAAGAGATACACTCAATACATATATAAAGCATATACAAGATACTGTAGAACTGAAACAGGATGTTTATCATATCCACCAAACATGAAACAAGACTACAGGACAACGTCGCATGAGCCTCCAGGGTATTTATCACAACAGGTGTAAGGCCATAGTGAAGCTGCCACATCTGGACCTGAGACTTGGTACAAAGGGTACATACGTCTCCCACCCACTGCCCCTGGCAGACAAGAAGATATACACATACACATCTACCTGAACCTCACCAGAAAGTCATTTGCTCGTTTCTGCTGTCCTATCTGATCTGCCCTGAGCTCGTTCTCTCCTAGCATTGTAGCAGCAGCAGTCAGGAAGCAAGCAGTAAGCCTTCCTTTCAACAAAACCAGACATGTGGGCCCTCTGTACCCTAGGGCACAGGTGATGTCTCCCACTCCTAAGAATCCTGTACTGTCCCACTATATGCCTTCTCTGTGTCACCTGAAAAAAGTCAAGTAGCCACTTCTTCCCATAGGCCTTACATCTGTTTCCAATCCCTGTCCAACCTAGTCTACAGCTGCTGAAGACACAATGATAGTATGGTCAAACAGAAGATTCTGGCATAAGGAAGAAGTAAGTAGATATATAAAAGAGACAGTCTGAAGACACCATAATAGGATAAGTATGAAACAGGGCAAAGAGCTTGTTTACAGGAGAAAATAACATAAAATTTAAGATGGAAAAAATGGTAGCAAAGCCAAAGTTGTATTCAGAGGACTGGACTTTTATCAAAGCCTTCTGTCATCCCTGCAATGTTGAGACAAGACATAACATCATGAGATATATGAGCTTTCCATAATAATCTGTTTTTAACTTATCTACTCACCATGGTCCACGAGCCAGGCCATACATAAAGAATTCAGCTTTTCATCAAAGAATTCCACACCCTATGGATACAGAAGATTCCATTAACACACATCTCCAAAGTTTAGAAATTGAGATGGTCTATTTATATTACACGCAGGAGACCTGAAGGCTAAAAAACACTTGTTTCCTATTAAGCTGAATTCATGAAACAGTCACAAAAGAAATACCATGGGATTTACAAACAAACAAATCTATAGCATAGGGCAAAAATCATAAAGAAAAGCATAGTAAAATGAACAGGCCCTGCTAGGTAAAAGACACTACATGGTCAGAAGCCAGCTATGAGAGAGCAGAAGAGTCGGAAGAATGCAGTGTGGATGGTCCTCTAAGCAAAATCTAGATTACTTGTAAAAATGAATTACCCAGGAAAATACCTGCAATAATATTAAAAATTCTCAACTGCCTTCCCTTTTTGGTTACTATCATAACATATCCTTAAGGATGAAGCAACTCACATCAAGACACAGATATATCCCCAATTAAAGAGAGTATTTCTGGGACAACAAGAGAAAGCATTGGAGGAAGAATAAAGCAGGCGTGAGAGTACAGAGGAAGGGCCCAGCATGGCTAGCTCTCCAAGCCCTGCTTCTTTTGTCTGTCAACAAGTGGCCACTTCAGTATAGGCTAAGGATGAGCTCCGAGAGCCAATCTATACAGACCTCTCCCCCTAGGACTTCTGCACCGCGCGGGTGAATGCTGCGAGATGAACTTTCCTAGCGTTTCCCTTCTGGGTCTACATGTTTACAGTCTTGCTTCTGTGATTTCTAGGAAGTTCCTGACCAGTGATTACATATTTAAAATAAATAAATGTAGTATGTTTCAGTACTTCATAAATAGTGATCAAGTAAGACAAAATAGCTTTGTATTAATAGATTATGAACAACTTTTGGCACACATTTAAATTACCAGGTCACCTCTCAAAGCTTTATTTATCATTCTATGATGAGGATCCTTCAGTCTTAATTAACCTTTATTTTCTGATTTTTGTGGTTTAACTTTACATTTACTTTCCATGGTCCACAAGCCAGACCATACACAAAGTCTTGAGAGAAATTTATAAATTGACTATCTGATAAAGAAAAATTAAGGAAAAAAGTATATATAAAAATAAAAAGTTGAAATTATAAGACAAAATGTTCATGACTGAGGCATGTCATCCTTGCCAGACAGGTATAAGTTAGGCAAAGATAGCATCTTCTTGCTTCCAAAAAGCTGTATTACAGCCAGCAACCCTGGGAGACTTTCCAGGTCTAGAACAAGCAGAGGTTAAAAGAAATGGTACCAAAATTCACCCTCCCTTCCAAACAGTTGTTTCAGTCTTCAGCAAATCAGTTAACCACTGCTACTTTCCACGCTGGTGAGTAGATTCATGACAGTCACCAGTGAAAAGACGATGACCCACAGCACTTGGGAGTGACAGAGGAAAAGGGTGACAAGATGACATCACCTGACCTATTACTAGTGTACTAATATCTTTGGCATCCATTTCAAAGAATAGGACACTTCAAATTTCATAAAACATATAATGCCACAGACATCCACAAGATGCATGTTCACAAACTAAATATGTCAAAATTAGCAATACAAAGTCGGTGGTCCAAGAAAAGAAAATAAATCCCATATGCTGTGATCTGAAAGGAATAGAAGTGAAGTGAGGTAGGGGAAACAAACTGTAATAACGTCAGCAGTAAACTGATACAAGCCTTTCTCAAAAAATGTTCAAGAATCCATTTATTCAACAATCCATGAATGCTGGCCACACGTGGTGATTCACACCTGCAATTTCAGCTACTTAGGAGGCTGAGGCAGAAGAATTAATTGAGACTAGGAGTTCAGGACCATCTGGGCAATAGTAAGAACCCATCTTTTAAAAAAAAAAAATTGACCAGGAGTGGCAGCTCAAGCCTGTAATCCCAGCACTTTGGGAGGCCAAGGCAAGAGGATTGTCTGAGCTCAGGAGTTAGAGACCGGCGTGGGCAACATGATGAGACCTCATCTCTACAATAAATAAATAAATTAACAAACAAACAAACAAACAAATAAGCCAGGTATGGTAGTGCACGCCTGTAGTTCCAGTTACTTGGAAGGCCAAGGCAGAAGGATCGCCCAAGCCCAGCAGGTCAAGGCTGTGGTGGCTGTGAGAATGCCAGTGCACTCCAGTCTGGGCGACAGAATGAGACTCAGACTCAAAATTAATTAATGAAGGCAGCACTCTGGCAGACATTGGAAATAAAACACTGAACATAATCCCTGCCCTAAGAGATCACCTATCTCCCCAACTAGATTGTAACAGACAGTAACAACACTCTAATAAGTTGCTACCAACAGCTATACTGGAATATCAGACTTAGAACTGTCTGGGATATCTACTAAGAAAGGAAAGGATGTGGCTATAAAACCCAGCCCTGAAATTCTAACCAGCATGATACCAGTTAAAGTAACACCACTCAGAAACTCAAACAGTAAAGATAATGTGATAATGTGTAGACTTTGGCCAAAATACTGACATTACAAGTTTCAATACCCCCTTTCTACAAGGTGATTCCTCAACTCCCTTTAATCAGAATGTAGAAAGTGATATCTAGGGACATTCTGCTCAGAATACAAGCAAACAGAGAAAAGAACCTTGAGCAAAAATCAAAGCAGGCTTACCTGGAAACCACAGTCCCTTTCTTCTCTGTTAAATACTCCTTAAGTCACAGAGACGTTAAATATTTAAAAGTCTATGCTACAAATAGCAAGAAACTAATCATATTCCTCTATTGCTGTTTTTAGGTGGTAGTAAAGTGAAATGTGTTTCCATAATTCAGGTTGAGCATCCCAAATCCAAAAATCTCAAACCCAAAATGCTCCAAAGTCCAAAACTTTTTTTTTTGAGACAGGGTTTCACTCTGGAGTGAAACCTGCAGTGGCACAACCACAGCTCACCTGTTCTGAACTCTTGGGCTCAAGCAATCCACCTGCCTCAGCCTTCCTAGTAGCTGAGACTATGGGCATGCACCACCATACCCAGCTAATTTTTCTGTTTTTTGGAGACAGAGTCTCACTGTGTTGCCTAGGCTAGTCTTGAACTCCTTCCCTCAAGAGACCCTCCACCTCAACCTCCCAAAGCACTAGGATCACAGACATGAGCCACTGTGCCCAGCCCAAAAAAACCAATGCACTGACATGACACTCAAAGGAAATGCTCATTGGGACATTTTGGATTTTGAACTTTTGGATTTGGGATGCTCAACTGATAAGTATATGTACTGCAAATATTCCAAAATCTGAAATCTCTAACACTTCTGGTTCCAGGCATTTTGGATAAGGGATACTCAACCTGTACCTTTTGGTTAGACATTTATGCAATAATAAAAATAGAAACCATCCTACAGGCAACAAGGACAACACCATCCTTTCACACATCCAAATAAACATAATCATAGAGGCTATGTGGGCCTCCTACTTGCCATGGTCAGTCTTCACTATTTGACCCTAGCCTACAGTTCAGAGCACATGTACTCACCAGCTGGCCTGCTAGCAGCGGCATATACTCAATGATGGCCAGCCGGACCCTCCACTTGGCATCTTTGGCCAGCTCCACTATGGCAGGAAGGAGAGACTGAGAGAGCTGTCGGATTCCAATCACTTCATTTACACAATCCAAATTGGAGATGATATTCAAACGAACTTCAGGACACTGCAAGTATACAAGCCCCAAAGACCACATGTAAAAATAAAGTCCTCTGCCCAATATTCTCCAGTCAGAATAAGGTTGAAAACTGCTAAGTAAATTTTAAAATTAGAAAATACTGACTCATGAACATTTATATACTTAACTCTGGATTATATCCCACACCTTTAAAATTAAAAATGTTTTAAAAAGAAAATACTGGAAACAACCATGCTGCCCATCAAAAGAGGACTGGATTAAAAAAATGTGGTATATATACACGATGGAATACTACGCAGCCATAAAAAAGAACAAAATCATGAATTTCGCAGCAACCTGGATGGAACTAGAATCTATAATACTGAGTGACCTCTCACAGAAACAAAGATCCAAGTATCACATGTTCTCACTCATATAATGGACCTTGAACATCCAATGTAATGTAATACTATAAGAAAATGACTGACAGTACTGGGAAACTACGGGGGGGGGATGGGATTAACAGTAGCAAATATCTGTCTGGGGATGGGAAAACACCTCTTATCAACAGGGTGCCTGAATGAAACATAATTGTACACTTAACCCTTAACTGTACCCCACAAAACCATAATAAAAAATATTGATTAATTAAAAAAAAAGAAAGAAAATACTGACTCAGTGAAAAAAATGTAGTCTTGAAGGAAATACTAAATACTGAATACACATAATTCAAGAAACAAATGTAACTGATCTTAATAAAAACTTTCAAGAAAAAGTCTAAGAGACTAAAATCAATTTAAAAAAGACTATAAGATAGTAAAGAGCATAAACTCTGGAATTAAATCAGATGCACTCAACTCAGATCCCACATCCGTCATCGCTGAGACCCTGTGCCTCAGCATTCTCATCTGTAAAATGGGGATAATAATAAGACCTATCTCATAAGATTGTTGTATTACACACAACGATACATGCAATGCACTTAGGATCATGCATGGCACACAGTAATTAATAAATATTAGCTGTCGTTATAATTTTTGATATACTTAAGTAAAAACACTTTTTAAACAAAGAAACATTAGCTCTAAAGATAAGGAATCAGGGAATATAAAGCAAAAATCAGACAGAGAAGATGGACAGATGTTTGTAGATTTCCTTTAATGGGTACTTGTGCCCATTTCCTGGGGAACTTGTAACTCCATATCCAAACATAGGGATTGTCACTAGTTTAAAAAATCAAAATTGGCTGGGCACAGTGGTTCAAGCCTATAATCCCAGCACTTTGGGAGGCCAAGGTGAGAGAACTGCCTGAGCCCACGGGTTCGAGACCAGCCTGGGCAACTTGGCAAGAACTCATCTCTACAATAAATCAAAAAGAATCAGCCAGATGTGGTAGCACACGCCTATAGTCCCAGCTACCTGGAAGGCTGAGGCGGAAGGATCACCTGAGCCCAGCAGAGTGCCACTGCACTCCAGTCTAGGCGACAGAGTGAGACTACAACTAAAAAAAAAAAAAAATCAAAATTATCTTTTGGAAGGCAGGCCCCTTGTAGCACACTCAAAATTTATTTGGATCAAACCATCAACCAAAGTTTTTATCTGGAAGTTTTGAGACAGTTATGTCACAACTTGCAGAAGAAGCATCCCAAAGTTGTGGCAAAAGGTGATTGGTTCTTCCACCATGACAACACACCTGTCTACACCACATTGAGTGTTCAGTAGTTTTTGAACAAAAACAGAATGACCCCCACCCTCCCTATTCACTTTACCTCTCCCAAGCAACTTTTTTTTGTTTCCCCGGATGAAAAAAGATCTCAAAAGGAAACGCTTTGCTGATGTGGAAGAGGTGAAACAAAAATGGCAGAAGCACTATAAGACATCAAAACGGACAAGTTCAAAAACTGTTTAGAGCAGTGGAAAAAGTGTGACTCTATAGGTATATTGCATCAGAGTACTTTGAAGGTGACTGAAGTTTAAATATGCAATACACATTTTTTTATAAACAAATTCTGGGGATTTTGGGGTCCTCCCTTGTAAGTTATGATCTTTTAATTCATTTCCATAAGTTTTGGGTCCCATTTTTAGTGAAATCCCAAACCAAATCAAATCACAGAGTATGAAAGGCAATAGAATGTATAGCCAGACTTACCTCATCCTTTAACTGAGCTAAAAAAAGAGGCAGAAGATGTTCAATGGTATTCTCTTTACCCAAAATCGTAGACAATCCCATAATTACAGAAGCTAGAGCCGATTTGACATGTTGGTTCATATCGGATACTAATTCCTAAAATAAAACCAAAATTCAAAGTCTTTCTTTCCTGCAAGACAACAGAAACCTTCCATTCCATCTCCCAAGGAATTTAAAGATACCACTATTTCATACTGATCACTTGATAATACTCCCTCAGGTCATCTGTTAGGTTACATATGCACCCAAGAGCATTTACAGTTGTAACAGGCACTTATAAGTGATAAATAACAATGTCACATATTAATATATCTGCCACGTTCATCCCCATTCATGTTTAAACTCAAAAAGCGTAACTGAAAAAAAAAAATTGAGGTAAGGTTTAGCTTCATATGGGGGAGAGTAAAACAAAATAAACTGAAGTTAGATTTACCTTTATATAAGGCAAGATTTGATTCATAATTATGGTCTCTCTACCTTCAATAGGCAAGTTCTCACAAAGTTCTAAAAACAACGAATAGAAAACAGGCTTTCATAGAGTCATTTCAAAGAACCAAATAAACGGTTTATCAACAATTTTAAGTAAAATCAAATAATATGATTACGCAACTAAGCTCTAAGGAGGAAAATGGTTCTTGTTCTAAATGTACTTTTTAGCCAGGTACGGTGGCTCACACCTATCATACCAACCCTTTGGGAAGCGGAGGCAAGAAGATTGCCTGAGCTCAGGAGTTCAAGACCAGTCTGGGCAACTTAGCATGACCTTGTCTCCACAATAAATCAAAAAATTAGCCAGTATGGTAGCAGGCGCCTATAGTACCAGCTTCTTGGAAAGCAGAGGTGGAAGGATCACCTGAGCCCAGCAGGTTGAGGCTGAGGTAGCTGTGACTGTGCCACTACACTCCAACCTGGGTGACAGAATGAACCTGCAGCTCAAAAAAAAAAAAAAAAAAATTAATGTACTTTCTCATGAATCTTTGCATATCACACTAATTCAGCATGAAAAGGTATTTTTTAAACAGAAACAAAATAAAATTGATGCTTGGTTTTAAATATATAGGGAGTAGCTTTATATGACAATATGACACTTCCACATGTTGAAATCTGAAGTGTTTGAAAAACATATTCACTGACATCAAAAAATGCACCAAAATGAATGACATATGTTGCAACATAAACTGAACTCCTTAACCTTTTACTTTGTGGGCAGCAGCTGCTCGGACTTCAGCTTCACAGTCTTTCAGTAGGTTCTGAAAGGCGGGGATGAGGTCATTTAGGGTGATTTTAGGACCCACAGCTTTCTGGAGCTATAAAAGAATTTGTACAAGTTTTAATGTATACTAAAAAAAAAAAAGCAATCTTCAAGTATATTTTTGCCACAACACTCTCCATTTAAAAGAATTAAAACTTTTGGTACAACAGCAAACCTGTGGGTTTTTGTTTTTATTTTCTTTAGTACTTAAAAATGCCAATGCAATGATGTTACCTCTGAAAATTTGTCAGCTACCATATAGCGAACTCGCCAGGATTTATCTTCTGCTGCTTGTCGAAGTGTAGGCATCACCAAGGCCTCAAGATCATCTTGGGACAGTAACTGAGCAATACTGACACAAGCTTCCACAGCTAGAAGTCGTACTGAATCCTAAAGGAACACAATTTCTGTAAGTCAAACAATATTAACTAAGAGCCAATATTAACTGTATGTGGTGTGGGTAGTACTACTGTGGGTGCTGTTTAAAAAAAAAAAAAAAAAAAAGAACCACCACGCCATGTAGTTTCATGTCTTTATGTCCTGAAATAGCTGCTTCCTTTGAACTGGCATGTCAAAGCCATAAAGATAGAAATGACTTTGTTCTAAGAATGAACAGCAAAGTAATTGCCTTGGCTAGAGTGCAGAGTTTTTGTTACGAAAATGTAAAGATTAAGAGAAAAAAAGGAAAACATTTTAATAATGTCTTCAATGCCTTACTATAATAGGAGCTGAGGGATAAAAAGTAAAGTATAATTGTACAAGTTATTTAAAATAGATTAAACAAAGAGAATAAGAGTAAGAGAAACTAATTAGGAAGCTCGGTTTTCAAAATACCCAGTTCAAGGTGGCAATAATAGGAGTTTAAGCATGAGATGAAGACTTAGAAATACACATTAGAAAAATTAAAAGTTAGTAACAAAAAAAAATCTGTCGGATTTAAATGTCAAAGATCAAGGAGCTAGCCATGTCTAGAAGAACACAGAAATTAGAATTAGAAAACCGTGGGATTAGCCAGGCTCGGTGGCTCAGCCTGTAATCCCGCGCTTTGGGAGGCTAAGCTGAGTGGATTGCCTGAGACTGCGGGTTCGAGACCCACCTGGGCAACTTGGTGAGACCTCATCTCTACAATAAATCAAAAATCAGCCAGACGTGGTAGCGCACGCCTGCAGTTCCAGCTACTTGGAAGGCTGAGGCGGAAGGATCGCCGGAGCCCAGCAGTGCATGCCACTGCACTCCAGTCTGGGCGACAGAGTGAGACTCCAATTCAAAAAAAAAAAAAAAAGAAAGAAAGAAAGAAAACCATGGGATTATTAAGCTCAGTATTCCAAACTGCCAAGTATCAATGTGATACCTACATGTCCTTGAGAAAGTGAAAATATGCAATTAAGCCAAACCAATGTGAAATTAGGAACTGAGACTGTAGAGTTGAAAATCAGACATATGTAAGCAGAAACTGAAAACATATAAACATGAGCATCCAGGAGAAATAGGTCAAAAATTGTAATAGTGTATACAATAACACTGTATGTATACGCCCATACATATATCCCCAAGAAAAAGGGAACAGTGACTCCAACTTCCATAACACTACAAATTTTTTAAATTACAGCTCAACAATAACTGACTATATGCCTAAGACATACTTACGCCTCTGTATCCAAAAGAACAGGCTAAAAAAGATAGAACGAGGTTCTTAGTAGTAGTTATACAGATATTTTTGGATTTCAACAATTATGCTAAATAAAGGGGCTACTATCAACTACTGAAATATATGCTAATAAATGTTAATCACTTTCCCAGAATTCCTGATTTCCCCCACACCTGTTCCTCTTCCCAGCATCTTCTCCACCTCAGTACCTCACCATTCACACAATCGCTCAAGCCAAATGTATAGGAGATCCTAATTCCTCTTCTCATCCAATCCAATGGTTCTAAATTCTTCTGACTTTACTTCCAAACTTTATAACCAGATTCTCTCCGTCTTCACTATTACCACCCTAGTCCACCACCATCTCTTGCCTAATGGCTCTAAGTCTCCTAACTGGTCTTCCTGCTTCTATTCTTATCACCCTTAAAATCTATTTTCTTTGAAAAATGTAAACTGCATCATGCCACACCCTTGCTCAAAATCTAGGTGTAATTACACTGTCCCTAGAAAAGAAAATCCAACCTGTATACTCTGGCTTGAAGGCCCTCTGTGATCTGGCCCCTGCCTATCTTCTCCAACCCTGTCTCCTACAGAGTCTTGACCACTATGCTTCAATGTTAGGGTCTTTATTCTAGGTGTCCTCTCTCCCTGGCCTCCTCTTTTCCTGGAGCCCTGACACTCTGGAAAAAGGCATGACTGGCGTTTTTCTTTCGTGTCTCCATTTATATCACCTTTTCAGAGTCCTCTGACTAGCTAGTCTAGAAGAATACCCTATTTATTGTTTATTGTTTTTCTCCATTAAAATGTCAGCTCCATGTGAACAGGGCGCTTGTATGCCGGGTTTAACACTGTATCCCAGTACTAGAACAGTGCTTGATAAAAACCAGGTGCTCAATAAATATTTTTTCAATGAATGAATAAGCCAAGACCAATTCTTTCATCAATGGTCAGAGGGAACACAAATATGCATATTATATGGCAAAGCATGAAGTGGTCTTATGATCCCCAAAACACCTAAATCTCATTAAGCTTCTAGATCAGGGGTGGGGCAAACACTGGCCAAACACAGGAGGAAGCTAGTTTTTATCAATAAGATTTTTACTGGAACGCTGCCATGTCCATTCACTTACATATTGCCTATGGATGATTTTGTACTACAACAGCAGAGTTGACTAATTATAACAGAAACTGTCTGGCCCACACAAAAGAAGTTCGTTAACTTCTGTTCCAGATTCAATTACCGCTTTATAGGAAATACAGAGAACAAAAGAAAATGTTAAATTATACAATGGGAACTGTAATCAACAAAATCCCAATTAAGTATTCTAAACCTGTGCTAACGTGTGGCTTCGGAGACTTGAAATGTGGCTAGTATCACATGTTTAGATGATAAAATTTTCGAAATTTGGGGTTAAATAAGACATATTATCTTCATCTATTTCTTTTTACTTTTAAAAACATGGCTAGTAGAAAACTTAAAATTAATAGGTAGCTTACATTATATTTCTGTTGGACAGCACCATTTTAAACTACAGTGACTGGGTAATAAAAGTGCAAAGAAAAGTGAGGTTATAAACATTAAAGTCAAGATGTTACTCTTAAGAGAGTAGAAAGTGGGGAGTAGAGGAGGAAGGGAGTGGGTTTGGAAGGGAGCCCACAGAGGGTTTCTGAAGTAGTGGCTGTCTTCTTTCAGAGAGGACCGTTACAAGACAATACCATATAATAATTCATTAAGTTGAAGATTTACTTTGTGCTGTTTTCTGTATGTTATTTTAATACATTTAAAAAATTATTTTGAAGGTCAGATTTCCCACCTTCAGATTAAGAATCTGAAAATAAGACTCATCAATACTCATCAACTCATCATGATAGGATGCTCGTGATCCTACCTATTCACATGAAGTGATGCTAGGGCAGGGACCAGGATATCAAAAGCCCAAAAAGACTCTTCTTCTGGAGGCCAGGAACTCTAGGGACTAATCCTTCTAAGCACCACTTCAGCAAGGCAATACAGCCAAGTTGTAAAGGGCATGAATTCTAGAGCCAAAATGCCTAGATTCAAATCCCAACTCTACCACTGGTAACTATGCAACCTTGAGTCAGTTACTTAAACTTCCTGTGCCTCTGTTTCCTAATATGTCAAACTGACTATGTCATGGGGGCTGTTGTGAGGACTGAATTACTTAAAACATGTAACCACTTAGAACTGAGGCTAAAAAACACTAAGTACTTTATTTAGGTATCTGCTTCCTTTATTGTTATTTCTACACCAAAGAGATATAGATCCTTGAATTTAAAATTGCTATCATGTGAAGTAATACCAAACACTAGTACAAGAGAAGCAGAGAACTTTCCTAACACATTCTATGCTGAGTTTTTTTAAAGTCAAGACTTTCAGGAAACAGTCCTCCCCCATATTACAAATGCAGGCTTCAATTCCCAAGTATGTTACCCCTTGATACAGCTTTGGTCTTCCTTTCTAATTATGGCTCTCATTTCCTCTCTAACTCCCCCTTCTTTTAACACCTGCTAATATAAATAAGAAATCATGGGCTGATTGAGAAACATAAGAACACTGAGATGAGTCATATTATACTTTATCCAGGCCAGAATTAAGTATTAATTTTGCAAAAAAAGATTCTAACATGAGAACCAAAACTCCCCAAATAAATTCTTAAAATTCAGAGAGGAGTGTATCTGTATCCCATAAATACTAAGAGTTAATTTACCTGTTCATCTGAAGCTAGATTCGTGAACAATGGAACAATTTCACTTTTCACACTGTCTAATTCCAAAACTTTTGCAAATTCACCCAACTTGGAAGCAGCAGCACGTCGTACCATTGGTGTGTCATCTGAGCACAAAGAACGGAAGTGCCTGCAGCATAAAACAATGAAGGTATTTCCCATTATACACCACGCATTAACACAGAGACAGACAGTATAGAGGTTTTCATTTACAAACATCAGTGATTAGGCTTCTACTCATAAAAGTAACAAAAATAAAACAGTGGGATATTTAAATGGATGATGAAAATTACATCATCAATCCTATTATTCCAGTATCGGCCACTCGTTGGTAACTAGGTATATTGTGCAAATTGTCAGCTATGAGTCCCCAATAATCCCAAGTTACTCAAAAAAATACCATATCTTACTGTCTAATTTCTTCCTTGACAGCATTTGAAGCCCTGGGATAGCAAACGCTGAACAAACCACATGCAGATGTTCGAGAGGTGAACCAATCGCCACTGGCTAGGCGTTTCACCAGAGGTACAAAATGAACTTCCAGAGCAACAGGAGTATGCTCCTGGGAGATCTGTCTCAGGGACTCCACAGCCCTATCACGAACAACAGTCTCTTCCACAGTTGCCAGGCTTTCCAAAGGAGGCTGCAGAGATGAAAAAGGAAAACCAGAGAAAACGTATTGAATCACTTTAGATACAGATTATCACCTTTTAAAGTGACTAAAAGAAGGTGGTACATGTAACCAGAATGTTAGCTACGTCATACCAAATGGTTACTTTCAGTTCACACAGGGATAACATATGGTGCAGCCAACCTGAAGACACGACTTCTGTAGAAAAGCCAAGATCTCATGTCCCAGATGGCAATTCCCAGATGGTGTCTACAAATGACACAGTGAAAGAGACTTGACATAATATTAATATTATTGTGAGCTGAATCACTGGGTTTAAAAGATATGTAGCCAAATTCAGGCAGGATTGTGTATATTTCTTCAAGAGTAAGTACAAAAATATCAGGCACCACAATTACATGATGACAGCTTGTCAGGTCACTGAGCCCACAGCCTTCTGAGTATCTTTTACCATTCCCAGAGGTGCAAGCAACTTTTGTCCACTAGCTCCACTATTTAGCTGACCCACAAAAGGCTGAGTACAAAAATCACTTTATTCAGAACACATTCAGAAACTATGAGTTACAGAGCTGAGTTTCTGACAGAGCAATCAAGTACAGAGAAGGTAGGAGACCTTGCTTGAAACATTAGAAATAGAAGAGACCAAAGGGGTTTACTGACATGGTCCAGTAAAAAGTGAAAATAGGCTGGCTCTCCTCTGCCTTACTGAGTGTGCATGTGGTCCTCACAGATTCCGCACACGCCATGAGTTGGAGATTTTAAAGCATAGAACATGTAGAATTGACCACTAGCGTGAAATAGAAGGATAATGAGTTAAAGGATAGAGGTTTGTCTACCTAATAATACATTTTGAAAGTTGTCTGACACAGGTAGACCATACTCAGCTTTCCAGGAGAGTAATTCAGAAGACCACTGAAAAGATACTATTTCTTACTTGCCAAAGTCTTTCCCGAACCGTCCTCTGCCTACTGTGACCTCCTCTCATACAGTACCACTGGATAACCTGTCACTACTGTAGGATAAGGCCAAGCTCAAGAATTCCTTATGAGTGGCCTCTTGATTTGGACTCTACCTACTTCTCCAATGCCCTTTTCCTGATGGTCCTTAAAGATCACTCTGCCTACTCCAGTCCCAACACTTCACACTCCAGCAGTCTTAGACCCAACCCGTCTCATGCTTCCAAGCCTCTGAAACTCATTTTTTCAATAATGATTATTGTTGTATTCTAGCACAGAAGAAGCAAAGCAAAGTGTCTTGCTCCAGTGGCATTTACACTCCAATAGAGGAAGACATCAATCAATCAAGAAAATAAGTAGATGGTGATGAGTACTCATAGAGAAATAGGATGATGTGGTAATTGGTGACTGGGAGGTTATTCCAAGGTGGGTGGTCAGGGAAGATCTCTCTGAGGAGATATGCTGAAGTTAATGCCCCTGAATGACAAGGAGTCAGCCACAGGAAGCTGAAGAGAGGATTTCATTAGAGGGGAGGCCTAGTACAAAGATTTTAAGGGAATAATGGGCTTGGTTAATTCAAAGAATAAAAAGAAGACCAATGTGAACAGAATGAGGTTATCAAAAGGGAGCTCCATACATGGTAAGTCTACAGAGGCAGGTCAAGAATATCTTGTAAGACAAGGTACAGAGTCTGAATTTTCTTTTTCTTTTTTTTTTTTGAGTCAGGTCTCACTCTGTGGCTCAGGCTAGAGTGCAGTGGCACGATCACAGCTCACCGCAAATTCAACTTCCTGGACTCAGGTGATCCTTCCATTTCAGCCTTCTGAGTAGGTGGGACTACAGGTGTGTGCCGCCATGCCAGGTTAATTTTTTCTATTTTTTGTAGAGATAAGGTCTCACTGTGCTGCCTAGGCTGGTCTCGAATTCCTGGGCTCAAGCAATCCTCCTGCCTCCCAAAGTGCTGGCATTACAGGCATGAGCCACCATGCCTGACCTTACAGAGTCCAGATTTTCTAAGAGCCATGATAGGGAATGATATGATCCATCTAGGGGTTAGGTAGTAGGAGGGAAGAATGGAAGGCAACGAGTCAGGAAGCTACTGTAATAATCTAGATGGAAAACAGTGGTGGTCTGGATTAGGGTAGAAGGAAGGATGGTGGCAAGTGGATTAACTTGGAATATACGTAGACTCTAAAGGAGTTACTAATGGATTAGATGTGGGGAACAAAGGAAAGAGGATTCAAGAATATCTTCTAAGTTGGATGTGGTAGTTCATGCCTGTAATCCCAGCCTCTGGGAAGCCAAGGCAAGAGGATTGGGCAGCCTGGACCACATGACAAGACCTCATCTCTACAGTAAAATAAAAAAACTAACCAGGCATGGTGGTGCATGCCTGCTGTCCCTGCTACACGGGAGGCTGAGGCAGAAAGATCATCTGAGCCCAGCAAGTCGAAGCTGCAGTAGCCATTATCGTGCCACTACAGTCCAGCCTGGGTGACAGAGTGAGACTCCGACTCAAAAAAAAAAGAATGTCTTCTAGGTTTTGGCTTGTGCAACTGAGTAGATAGTGAAACCATTTACAGAAATAGAACAATTAAATAAAAAGCACATTTTGGGGAGAAAATTAAGGTTTGTTTTAGGTATGTTAGATTTAAAATACTTGTTTGAGCCGGGCTCGGTGGCTCAGCCTGTAATCCCGCGCCTTTGGGAGGCTGAGGTGAGTGGATTGCCTGAGCCCGTGGGTTCGAGACCTGCCTGGGCAACTTGGCGAGACCTCATCTCTACAATAAATCAAAAGTTAGCCAGGCGTGGTAGCGCACGCCTATAGTTCCAGCTACTTGAAAGGCTGAGGCAGAAGGATCGCCAGATCCCAGCAGGTCGAGGCTGCGGTGGCCGGGAGCGGCCACTCCACTTCAGTCTGGGCGGCAGAGTGAGACTCCAACTCAAAAAAATAAAAAAAAAAAAACTTGTTTGTCATTCAAGTAGAAAAATCATAGGCCCACACACACAGATGGAGATAAATACATATATATGTATAAATCTATCTGCATCTCCAGTTTCATGGAAAAGTCAGATTTCTTGTCATAGAAATCACAAGAATCAGCATCATATAGACAGTATTTAAGCCCTGAAGCATAAATCCCTACCTTGACCAACTGTTGAATTCCTGGTTGTCCTTTCAAACTTAGTTTAGACACATGTCCTAAGTTACTCCCTTTCTCCTCTCTGTAACTTGGGTACTTCATAGGTGCCGGTACCTTTCTATTTAAGACTGCACAATAATTTGCTGACACATAAAGACAGAGACCTTCTAATTCCATTCACACTGCTTTTCTTTTTCTTTCTCTTTCTTTCTTTTTTGAGATGTGGCCTCGTTATGTTGCCCAGGCTACATTCAAACTCCTGGGCTCAAGTAATCTTCCTGCCTCAGCCTCCCATGTAGCTGGGACCAGGCTATGCCACCAAGTCTGGTTCACACTGTTCTTGTTTTAACATGAACACTGTAACTTACAATGTGCCTGATATAGTAGACTCTCTAAAACCAAACCAGATGGAACTGAACTCATCAAACTCACAAAGTCAGAAGTAAAAGTTATACTAACAATTTTAAAAAACTGCTAGTTGAGAATTAGGACTTACAATTCTGAGAGGGAGGAGGGGAAGGCATAAAAACATCAAATCTGCCGGGCTCAGTGGCTCAGCCTGTAATCCCGCGCCTTTGGGAGGCTGAGGTGAG